TATGTAAATGAATTTTTGTTTGAAAGTTGACATCAATTATTAAATTTCCCAGCGAAAAAATTTACCTATTAACCCCTTCATCTTTTATTGGTTATTTTATTCAAAGAGTTTTTATGGGATGTATTTAGTCTTCACAATTAAAAAGTTACATTGAAGATTGAGGTTGTTACATTGAAGATTGAGAGTGTTACATTCATAATTTTGCTTACTTTTATTGGAGTAAACGCTTGCCATGTAAGATTCCTGAAATTCAAACAGCCGTAAATTAATAACTTTTGGAATTCAAAATGGAAAAATTGAGGATATCTTCTTTCAAGTTCAAAGATCGCTGTTTCTTTTGCCTTGAAATTTTTGTTGTGAAAACAACAGATTCTCTGATTTTTTCATCGGTTCAAACTTGTACTGAGAAACTATAGGAAGTGTTAACGAACGCAGTGAGACACTTACTGCGATCGTGTAAATTTGATATTTTATTTAGGAAAAGTTGTTATAATTTGATCGCGCTAAAATGCGATTTCTAGCGGTTTGATTGTTGTTTATTATAAATTGAGTTAAATTTCATTTAGTCGAAGGAAAAAAGTTACGCTCTGCAGCTAGGAAAACGGAAATCGTGATAAAAAAAATATGTAAATGAATTTTTGTTTGAAAATTGACATCAATTATTAAATTTCCCAGCGAAAAAATTTACCTATTAACCCCTTCATCTTTTATTGGTTATTTTATTCGAAGAGTTTTTATGGGATGTATTTAGTCTTCACAATTAAAAAGTTACATTGAAGATTGAGGTTGTTACATTGAAGATTGAGAGTGTTACATTCATAATTTTGCTAATTTTTATTGGAGTAAACGCTTGCCATGTAAGATTCCTGAAATTCAAACAGCCGTAAATTAATAACTTTTGAAATTCAAAATGGAAAAATTGAGGATATCTTCTTTCAAGTTCAAAGATCGCTATTTCTTTTTCCTTGAAATTTTCGTTGTGAAAACAACAGATGCTCTGATTTTTTCATCGGTTCAAACTTGTACTGAGAAACTATAGGAAGTGTTAACGAACGCAGTGAGACACTTACTGCGATCGTGTAAATTTGATGTTTTATTTAGGAAAAGTTGTTACAATTTGATCGCGCTAAAATGCGATTTCTAGCGGTTTGATTGTTGTTCTTTATAACTTGAGTTAAATTTCATTTGGTCGAAGGAAAAAAGTTACGCTCTGCAGCTAGGAAAACGGAAATCGTGATAGAAAAAATATGTAAATGAATTTTTGTTTGAAAGTTGACATCAATTATTAAATTTCCCAGCGAAAAAATTTACCTTTTAACCCCTTCATCTTTTATTGGTTATTTTATTCAATTAGTTTTTATGGGATGTATTTAGTCTTCACAATTCAAAAGTTGAAAAAAGATTGTAAAATAGTCGATCTTCTTATTTTCGGTTCCATTTTTCTTTGACTTATAAAAGTCAGTCAACTTTCCGTTGACTGTCTTTTTTAGTCAGTTTGAACCAGTTTTCTCAAACTTGTTTAGTTTCAACAAAATTGTCCAGCATCAAAATGCCTGAATCTCAAGTAGCGAGAGTTAGGGTGTTACATTCACAATTCAGCTGAATATTATATTAAACGAATCACTTAATTTGATTATAAGGAGTGAAGTGAAATAATTATCAAGTTTCGCTTTCATAGATTGTTGAATTGCGAGTTCACTCAGGCTATAAAAACCTGAATTGTATTTTTTCTTCGGTTGAATAGCTTGCTTGAAATAGCTTTCGCTTCCCCGCAATCGATTCAAGCTTTCAAAATAACTTGTTTTGTTCAAGGTCTCATAGCTTGTTTAGCTTTCCCAGAGTAACTTTAAATTTAAGAAAACCGATTCAAGGTAGCAAAACAAACCGAAGTTTTTTCTAAGATTACTTTGTTTTACGTTTTTTTAATGATCATCTTTCTTTATCATATCAAGCCCTCAAAATCCATTTGATTTTTTCCTAGCAATTTTCCGTAAATAACTTTGTTCACAGATTGGTCCAATAGTAATTGGTATTACTGACACCTGCTTCATGGTTAATCAGTAGTATGGGCATGTATTTGCTGCATATGTGCCTTCTGTTTCTGTTAAGAGCTGCAAATTAATATTTTTTGAACTCGAAGAGTTTTGGTAGATTTATGGAGGAGCGGATCTGGGGTGTTCTCGAGGGGGGGGGGCGGCGGATCTAGGGTGTTCTCGAGGGGGGGGGGGGGGGCGGATTTTCAAAAAATTTTCGAAAAAATTTGTCGAATTTTTTTAAATCGATCGAATTGATTTTTTGAGCTTTCTCTAAGCACTGTTTAGTCCCTGTTTTGGCCAAATTTTCTGCATCGCAGCTAAAATTTTGAAAAAACAGTCCAAAAAAGGCGTTTTTAGGCACTTTTTGGAAAATTTTTGACCAAAAAATAAGCGTTTTTTCGGCGCGTGCTCCTCACTCAAAAGTAGTATATATTGGCGCCAAAGGCGCCTTTTGAAAGTTTTTAGGGTCGGTCGGCCAAAAATGGATTTACTTAAAAGTACCAAAGGGGGGACTCTTTGGGTCGGCAGGGGGTCGAATCCCTAAGGAAAAAGAGTTACGCTCTGCAGTTAGGAAAACGGAAATCGTGCGAAAATATGTAAATGAATTTTTGTTTGAAAATTGACGTCAATATTAAACTTCCCAGCGAAAAGTTTCCCAATAACCCTTTCATCTTTTATTGGTTATTTTATTTAAAGAGTTTTTATGGGATGTTTTTAGTCTTCACAATTAAAAAGTTACTTTGAAGATTGAGAGTGTTACATTGAAAATTGAGGGTGTTACATTCATAATTTTGCTTACTTTTATTGGAGTAAACGCTTGCCATGTAAGATTCCTGAAATTCAAACAGCCGTAAACTAATAAATTTTGGAATTCAAAATGGAAAGTTTGAGGATATCTTCTTTCAAGTTCAAAGATCGCTGTTTCTTTTTCCTTGAAATTTTCGTGGTGAAAACAACAGATTCTCTGATTTTTTCATCGGTTCAAACTTGTACTGAGAAACTATAGGAAGTGTTAACAAACGCAGTGAGACACTTACTGAGATCGTGTAAATTTGATATTTTATTTAGGAAAAGTTGTTATAATTTGATCGCGCTAAAATGAGATTTCTAGCGGTTTGATTGTTGTTCTTTATAACTTGAGTTAATTTTCTTTTAGTCGAAGGAAAAAAGTTACGCTCTGCAGTTAGGAAAACGGAAATCGTGATAAAAAATATGTAAATGAGTTTTTGTTTGAAAGTTGACATCAATTATTAAATTTCCCAGCGAAAAAATTTACCTATTAACCCCTTCATCTTTTATTGGTTATTTTATTCAATTAGTTTTTTTGGGATGTATTTAGTCTTCACAATTAAAAAGTTGAAAAAAGATTGTAAAATAGTCGATCTTCTTATTTTTGGTTCCATTGTTCTTTGACTTATAAAAGTCAGTCAACTTTCCGTTGACTGTCTTTTTTAGTCAGTTTGAACCAGTTTTCTCAAACTTGTTTAGTTTCAACAAAATTGTCCAGCATCAAAACGCCTGAATCTCAAGTAGCGAGAGTTAGGGTGTTACATTCACAATTCAGCTGAATATTATATTAAACGAATCACTTAATTTGATTATAAGGAGTGAAGTGAAATAATTATCAAGTTTCGCTTTCATAGATTGTTGAATTGCGAGTTCACTCAGGCTATAAAAACCTGAATTGTATTTTTTCTTCGGTTGAATAGCTTGCTTGAAATAGCTTTCGCTTCCCCGCAATCGATTCAAGCTTTCAAAATAACTTGATTTGTTCAAGGTCTCATAGCTTGTTTAGCTTTCCTAGAGTAACTTTAAATTTAAGAAAACCGATTCAAGGTAGCAAAACAAACCGAAGTTTTATCTAAGATTACTTTGTTTTCCGTGTTTTTATTGATCACGATTTTTTTATTAAATCAAGCCCTCAAAATCCATTTGATTTTTTTCCTAGCAATTTTCCGTAAATAACTTTGTTCACAGATTGGTCCAATAGTAATTGGTATTTTTGACACCTGCTTCATGGTTAATCAATAGTATGGGCATGTTTTTGCTGCATATGTGCCTTCTGTTTCTGTTAAGAGCTGCAAATTAATTTTTATTGAACTCGAAGAGTTTTGGTAGATTTATGGAGGGGCGGATCTAGGATTTTCTCGATGGGGGGGCGGATTTTCAAAAAATTTGTCGACTTGTTTTTAAGTCGACCGAATTGAATTTTCGAGCTCTCCCTAAGCACTGTTTAAACCCTGTTTTGGCCAAACGTTCTGCGCCGCAGGCAAAATTTTGGAAAAAACAGGCCAAAAAGGCGTTTTTAGGCACTTTTTGGAAAATGTTGACCAAAAACTCACGTTTTTTCGGCGCGCGCTCCCCCCTCAAAATTAGTATGTATTGGCGCCAGAGGCGCCTTTATAAAAATTTTAGGGTCGGTCGGCCAAAAATGTATTTCTTAAAAAGTACTAAAAGGGGATTCTTTGGGTCGACAGGGGGTCGAATTCCTGAGGTAGGGGCGTCCGCCCCCCCCTTAATCCGCCCCTGGTTTTATGGCAGATGTCGGTCGCTTTAATTCTGTCGGCTTAATTTCTTAATTTTTGCTGGTATTATAACTATTGAATTTTTTGTTACAGTTGCGCTAGCTGCTGTTTTTATTGCGCTTTCCATTGGCAAGCGTTAGCAAATGGGAATATATTTATTTTGCTGGCTAATTTGTTCAACAAAATCACTCAACCATTGCTCAGGTACCAGTTTGGAGGAAGAGTCCATGCTTGAGACGACAAAGGTTTCGAATGTTTCTCTGGTGCATCATTTAAGTAGCTTGCTCGAACAGCATCAGTGTTTTAGAACCGCTTCGAGCTATTACAGCAGCTTAAAATATTTCACTGTTTGATTAGCTTGCTTGCAAAATATTGTTTTTGCAACCATATCCAAGCAATAAAATCAGCTAGAAAAATTTGATTTTGTGCATTTTTTCAGGAGTACGAGTTGGCGGGTGCTGTAGTGCAGGAGGATCTGACCCCTGCTCGGCTGATTGTGGGAGTGAAGCAGGTACCCCCGAAGAAGTTCATCCCCAACCGCACCTACATCTTCTTCTCCCACACCATCAAGGCTCAGGAGGCCAGCATGCCTATGTTGGATGAAATGCTGCAAAAGGTAGGTACACAGGGCTTAGATTCAGTAAAATTGGCCAGAAAAATCATAATAACTTGAACAGGGGCGGATTTAAGGGGGGGGGGAATCTTTGGTATTGTTTTATGAAATCCATTTTAGGCCGACCAACCGTGAAATTTTTTCCAAAGGAGCCTTCGGAGACAATATATTTTGAAGAGGAGCGCGTGACGAAAAACGCAATTTTTTGGTCAAGATTTTAAATTTACCAAAAAGTGCCCAAAATTTTCCAAAAACTGTTCTGGGAGTGCTCGGAAAATCGATGATTTTTGAAAATTTGCCCACCATCCCTCGAGGAAGTCCTAGATTCGCCCCTGAACATGAAGGCTGCCGGAAATAGAGTCGTCTGTATGTTATTAGGACGCAACTATTGTCGAAAATATGCATCATAAAAGCTTTTTTGTCAAAACAAATCTCGTCTGTGTATGGTGGTTCTTAGATTGTACAGAGTCAGTTTGAGTTTCTGTAATTTAACTGATCTTAATATTGATTTACGCCTAATGGTTTGAAATCTAAACCTCGCACGTATTTAGAGTGTGCGGTTGGTCGACTACGAGCGAATGTGTTCAAGTGACGGCAAACGAGTGATCGCTTTTGGAAAATGGGCAGGAGTAGCCGGGATGATCGACGTCTTGCACGGTGTGGGACTCCGCCTACTAGCTTTAGGACATCACACTCCATTCTTACACATCGGATTGGCACACAGTTACCGAAACAGCGAGTTCGCCAAGCAGGCTGTCAGAGACGCAGGTTATGAGATCGCTCTGGGATCCATGCCGAGTTCCCTGGGTCCGATGACAGTAGTGTTTACAGGGTCAGGAAACGTGTCTCAGGGGGCTCAAGAGGTGTTTTTTGAGCTGCCGTATGTGTTTGTGGAACCTTCGGAGCTGAAGTATTGGGCTGAAAATGGATGTAAGCTTGGCCGTTATTCTGACTGGTGGTTACGAAGACTTGCGCAACTCATTTTTGGTTACCATAGAGCGTATTTAGAATTTGGTATTATGAGAACGCGTTTCAAAATGTTGGGCATTTTGTTAGTTGTAAGTTTGGTAAAACTATGTTACCTGTTTTAGCAAAGGATAGAATCTATGCTTGTGTAGTCAGTCGAAAAGACTACCTAGTGCATAAAAAGACTGGGAAGTTTGATCTAGATCACTACACTGCACACCCCGAAGAATACGAATCGAAGTTCGCAGAAAGGGTTAGTTTTTTTTATAGATGTTATACATGAAGATTCTTTAGAAACTGGAAATTTTGTCTAACTTTTGCCTCACATCGGTCTTGTAAAAACTTTTTCTCGCCTTCTTTTAATTAGCTTTGCAATCAAATCTGCTTTCTACAGGTTATTGCAAACTAAACTGCAGAATTAGAAAATTTGAATTGAAATCAGATTAGGTGTTGCCTTCTAGTCTAATTGTCGAGTAGTAAATTTTGTATTTTCAGTATGCTCCGTACACTTCGATTCTCGTGAACGGAATATTTTGGGCCGTCAACTCTCCAAGACTGATCAAAAGAGAGGATCTCGCTTCTCTCCTGACTCCGGCTGCAAGTGCAGAAAAACAGAGCGAGTTTCTGAAAGAGGGATGTCCCCCGTTACCACACAGAATGTTGGCTGTGTGTGATATATCAGCTGATCCCTATGGGTCAATTGAGTTCACAGATGTGTGCACTACTATTGATCAGCCTTTTGCAATGTACAATCAGGCTGCAGACCGACATGATAAGTAAGCCCATATAGTCGTGTTTGACTTTGATTTTTAACTTAGTTTTTGACTTAGTACACCTGACATAAGCGAAGAAAGTGTGCACTTTCTGTGCGTCTTGCATAGCACCCGAGTATTCCTGTTGGATGAATCGAGTTCGTTTATCTTAAACATAACAGCTGCTCAGCTCCTTGCTTAAACAATTATTTCAGATTTGCCCCACCTGATCTAGATAATTTATTGATGGCATTATTACAAAAGATTACTGCAAAGATCTTTAAATAACAAAAATGTTATTATAAATTGTTATTTACAATTCCAAATAAAATTGTCGGAATGGAGTGTCGTTTTTTCGCTCGTAAAAAAAGTTGCATCATATTTGTATTTTATTGCAAGCATTTGCACAATAATGAATCTGTTGAATCTTTCCTTGGTCAAGGAAATAGTCATGCAAAGAACCAGAAGTTTGAAGGTTTCATAATTCTGTGAATACTTCCATGTTTTAGTGTGGCTGGTGATGGAGTATTGGTGTGTTCCATTGACAACATGCCAGCCCAGATCCCCACTGAAGCCACTGAGTACTTCGGCGGTCTCCTGGCCCCATACATTCCTGAATTGATGACGTCAGACGCATCCACTAACTTCGACAAGTGGAGCCCATCCTCAGTCATCAAAGATGTGAGTTAATTTAGTCCAAGTTGTAGCAATAGCGAAGTGCATTTAAGATGCATAGTAAGATGCGTTTTTTTAGATTACAATTAGGTGCTTTTCAATTACAAAGCTTTCTGTAGTTTGCTTACAATTTTTTGCATGCTTAATAATTTAATTTTGCAAGTTTATTAATAAAGGTTGGCTGACATGTTCATCTAAGTGGTTTAGGTAAAGTCGTAAATTACAGGTCATGATAGAAAGGTATTGTATTTCTCGTTATCTCGCACAAACTTTGCATCTCATTTTATTCATGTTGTTGAATCATAAATTGGCTGCTTTGAAAGCTCTGTCTGATTTTTCGTTATGTAGCCTTTAAACAAAATACTTCAGCAAAAAATTGTTTTGAATTAGTAACATTATTTCAATATTTTGTCACCTTCATCAGCTTGAGCGCAACATGAAGAGAGCATGAAATCATTTCTTTCCACGTGTAATCAATTTTTCCTTTAGAACGTTTGTCTAGATTTCATATACATCTTCACATTTTCACTCAACTCCGTCCTTCGAAACACAACACAGATTCTTCGGAAAGAATTTGCTCATAACAATTTATTGGGTTATTCGACGTTTCGATGTGTTCTGTTTATATCTTCTTTCTTAACAAGCGGGCGTAGTGTTGTTACGAATTCACATTTTTTCTAACCCAGATCGCATAAAAAAGTTCATTTTAGGCACTAATGCTAAGTAGCATTACAAATTTAATAGCACATGTTTCACACGTTGTATTGGAGGCGTATGTCTACTTATTTCACGCGGACATGGTAGGAATCATAATCTTCAGGTCGCGTTCCGGTTTCGGCAGACGGCAAGTTTTGAAGAGTCGATGAACGTAGTTCATTTTCAGCAAAAGTCTTAAAAATAGTTCAGGCTCAAATGTATTTTTTCGCGGTTTTATTTCTGATTTATATGAACGTAGTTCGTTTTTCAGCAAAAGTCTTATAAATTGTTCAGGCTCAAATGTATTTTTTTTGCGGTTTTATTTCTGATTTATTAAGAGTAATGAACGTAGTGAAGACTCTTATATAGGTCTTGCTGATTGTTATTGTTTGTTTTTTTTTTCAGGAAAAATAATGATGCACTAAGGTATAATGCACATTTTGAAATCAATTGAAATTAATCTGCAAAAAATGACGTAAATAGCACTCTCCAAATTCATTCATTCGTTCTTGTAAGTTCGGAGTCCTTTTTTCGGATCCGAATCCGATTGCAAAATTTTGAAATACGACACCAAGCCCGATCACCTGCAAATGCAGACCTAAATTGCTTCACATAAAGTAGACTATGTCATAGTTTTTTCATACTGCAATGATTCGTCGAATTAATCATAAAATTGAAGCTGTGTTTGTGATAAATCTGCAATCAAAAGTGTCCTTAATGACACCTGCCTATATGCTTACTAGTTTTTCAGAAATTTGAAATCGGATCACCTTAATTGATACCCTTTATATTCGCTGACCTAGTTATCTGATTGATCATCAAAAAGTTGTTTAGGCTGTGATTTGTTCCAATGGAAAACTGACCAAGTCATACGAGTACATAAACACCCTACGCCAACATAGAGAGTGAGTTTTATATGCAATACAAACAGTTTAATTGACAGACACTAGATTTCAGATCAAATGTTGCTCAATTTTAAATAACCGTTATTTACTTTATCTGCAGAGCCGAAGCTGTGAAACGAACTTTTTCTCCGCCTGCAACTGCCAAAGTTATGGACTCTAAGAAAGTTCTAGTTCTGGGAGCGGGATACGTAGCTCCTCCTTGCATCGAATCTTTAGCCAGAGAGGACGGTCTTGGTGTAACAATTGTATCTGCGATTAAAAAAGAAGCTGAAGTTCTTGCTAAGAAGTTTCCTCAATGCGTTGCTTATGAATTGAATGTTGAAAGTCAACCGGACGAACTGGACTCGCTGGTGAAAAATCACGACGTAGTCGTAAGTTTGTTGCCCTGGACACTACACAGAAAGGTAGCAGAGTCATGTTTGAAAAACGGCTCCCATCTCGTGACGACCAGTTACATGAACCCTTCTTTGGGCGAATTGGAAGAGCAGTTTAAAAATGCAGGCTTGACTGCTGCGATGGAGTGTGGGCTGGACCCTGGAATTGATCATTTGCTGGCCTTAGAAGCGATCGATCAAATTAAAGCCACAGGAAACAAGGTGATGTTTTCCATGTTTACCATGTCCATCAGAAAGATTTTTAAATCTAGGTGTCCCGCAAAAACATTAAAATTCAGTTGTAAATCTACGTAATTTCAATTTAACTACAGAAGAAGCTCAAATTGTTCAGGTTCAAATGTACTTTTGCGCGGTTTGACTTCTGATTTCTTATCAAGTTCAGTTCCTTTTTATTTTTAAAGGGAAGACAACTCCACTAAGATGCTCTTAAGGTTGTTTTAAGAGTAATGAACGTAGTGAGTACTCTTATATAGGTCTTGCTGATTTTTTTGTTTTTTTTTGTCAGGAAAAAAAACTAAAATTTGTTCACGTTCAATTTTGATTATTCGCGGTTTGACTTGTGATTTCTTTTTAAGTTCAGTGCATTTCTCTTGTTAAAAAGAAGGCAAACTCCACTATTGAACAGCAAAATTGTAAAAGTCCCGAAAATCGTGATTGGTTTCTAATTTTGAAAATGGAAATTAATTATCAGATTTCCCAGCGAAATATAAGTTTTACTTATTGATCCAGTTTTCTCAAGTTGGGTTAATTTTAACAAAAAAGTGGCCATCATCAATTGTTCTGCAAATTCAAAGAGCTTCAAGGCCATCTAATTTTTTATTCGAAATTGAACGGTTGAAGATCTTTGAAAAAACAAGTCGGATTTTTTTTTCAGTTTCCTTGAGTTCGTTACTCTTTTCCAACTGTCAGTTGGCTATATTTGAATATTTTCCTTGCAATGGTGTGAATTTTGACTGTTTTCGAAAAAGTTTAGGTTTCCTTTTTTCTTATCATTTTCTTGTTTTGCATTGTTTCTGTTGTATCGCAACAAGAGTTGCGAAGCTCCGCTTTGCCTTAGTGTTAAGATTTAGATTCTAGTTGCTATCGGTTTGTTGGATTAGAGTTTGACTTGACTGTTTGCTTCAGATTGTGTCCTTCACATCTCTTTGTGGAGGTCTCCCAGCCCCTGAGCATTCGAACAACCCTCTGAAGTACAGGTTCAGTTGGAGTCCAAAAGGTGTCTTCTTGGCAGCCAACAGCTCAGCCAAGTTTCTGCAGGACGGAAAAATTATTGAAGTGAGTTTCGGTTTTTTGAGCATTCCAATTGGTATTGCCTCACATTCTGATTTTTGGAGTCCAGTTGGTATGCATTTCTACTAGCTTTTTCCTTCATTTTTATGCTAAACAATAAATTTTTGCTTAGGTGAAAGATCAAGGAATTCTTGAAAATGGCGGATTTCAAACCACAGAACGTTGTAGCAATATAAAAGGGTCTCATTTTATCAAAGCATTGTGCAGTTGTTGATTTTTAGACTGGCACCCAAGGTGATGTGCTGACATACCGGAAACCAATCGACCTGTTCCCTGGCCTCCGCTTAGAGTACTTCCCCAACCGTGATTCCCTCGGGTACATAGAGGAATACGGATTAAACACATGCCATTCGTTCTTCAGAGGAACTCTGAGGTACAGTGGGTACGCAGCGATAGTGCAGTCATTCTTCAAGTTGGGTCTGCTCAGTTTGGATTCGGTGCCGTACTTGCACCCCGATGCCAAGGCAATCTCTTGGGTTTGTTATTTGTGATTGATTTATTGCTTTTCTCTGAAGGTCCTCTTAATTAACCTGGACTGCAAGTTGATTTTCTGATTAGATGAGATGTTACATTATTGCTGATTTTAAGATTTTTTTTTCTTCAAAATATCCGGCCTCGGTTTGGCTCAATTAGATAAAAGAATTTATTGCATGCCGCCTGGTTAGATGCGAAAAATAACTAAAGTTGAAGTATATTTACAATTGAAAGCATTGTTTATCAGTGGATGAACGTAGTGAAGACTCTTGTATAGGTTAAGATGATTTTTTTTTTGATTCCTTGCATTCAAGTACCTTTTTTAACTGTCTGTTGGCTATGTTCTTAATTTAGGCAAGAAAATTTTCGCGTGCTTTTAGAGAGAACTCATGTGCAATCTGCTGGAGGCCAATGATTCTACTTCTGAGAAGGGCTTGATCGACATTGTGTCGAAATATGGAGTGTCTTCATCTGTCACGAGTGCAATGGAGGACCTGGGTCTGTTTTCTGACCATGAAATGGTACCCCTGTTCGAGACTCCTTGTGATACGTTATCAGCTGCCCTGGCACAAAAGTACACATTTAGTGAGTTACAACCTTTTTACAACCTTAAGAGGGTAGCAACCTGACTTGAGAATCATCGTGAACTGCCGAAATGGAATAGTTGGAATTGAAGCGATTTTACAGGATAAAGTAGGCGTTGTCTGGATCGACTATATTAATTAAGTGTCGAAAAACGAAGTTTTTTTTCAAGGAATTTTTTAAAATTCGTTCACGCTTTTGAAAGTTTTTTGAAATTCGTTCAAATTCGTATTTCTATAGTGCTGATTTCACTTGCGAACTTAAGTGAGCGTAGTGTAATGGTACGACGACTCTTTTTTTTCTAACCTAAGTCACAAATATTGGTGCATCTTCGCAGCTTTTTGATAACATGTGCTTTGACATTCGATTAGTAATAAGTTAACACAGATGATGCATTTCTCATTGTTCAAATGAACCGAAGAAAAGCTATTTGCTTCAAATATCACTGAAATAATCGACTTGATTTCAAAAATTTTCCAACTCATATCTTGCAAAATTTTTGAAATGCTTAATTCATACATAAAATGGCTTTGTGCTTTCGAATTTATCATATGCAAAGTAAGCTTCAGTTTGTTACATTACAGTTTTTTGCATGCTAATTTGTGTATATTTGTATTTGGTGCCACTTTTGCTGCATGGCATTGGCAATTTATTAGCATATGTAGATGCTTTATTATTGACTAATGTTTGTCACCTGTTGAGCGTTCGTGGACGAGCGTGCAGGGCTTGAGACTCCAAATCACGGGGTCGCAGGTTCGAATCCGATACGTTGCAAAGCTTTACTAACTCGAGGCTTTTTTTTCTTGTTTTACTTTATAAAGCTGCTTTTTTGTCTTGTTCTCGATAGTGTTTGCGAAGCAAAGCTTCGCCTCTGCGCTTAAATTATCCTGAAAAAAGGAATACAGCTTGTGTCATGTACATTACTCTTATATAGATGGTGATGCTCTTTTGTTTTTTTTTTATTCACGAAAAAGTCATAAAATTTGTTCACGCTCGATTTTAATTTTTCGCGGTTTGACTTTTGAATTATTTTGAAGTTGCCTTCATTTCGTTTGTTTACACTTGCGAAGCGAGTATATTAGTACGAACCTTCTTTTTTACAACCTAACTTGCAAATAAAAAAGATACTTTTGGTAGCACTTTGAACGATAGGCTGCTGTATGGCCTTAATCTTTTATTTTCAAAAACAAGTTATTGTTGACTTTTAAAAAAAATTAATCAAGTTTGAGAAAACTGGATCAATAGGGTTCTTTACACTATCGTACTTTAGCGAGCGTAGTTTAATAGTACGACTATTCTTTTCTTTCTAACAAAGGTCGCGAATATCGGTGGCACTGTTTGTGGCACGACTACGGCTTTGTGATAGCAGGTGTTTTGACATTCAAATAATAATAGATTAACACAGTTGATGCAAACGATATTCATCAAATGAACCGAAAACAAAACGATTTGTTTCAAACAACCACAATTATAAAAACTCGATTTCAGAAATTTTGTAATTGATTATACCTTGCATGCAATTATTTGAAATGCATATTTCATGCAGTATGTGGTTTTATGCTTTCCAATTTTCTATATGAAAAGTTAGTGTGGATGCCTGCTGTTTGTTATATTTGAAATTCTTACTTGCAAATTTGTGTCTATTTGTTTTTGGTGCCACTTTTGCGGCATCACAAAAACAATTTATTAGCATATGTAGCTGCTTGGTTTGTGACTAGTTTTACCGATTGTTAAGCATTCATGACCGAGAGGGCAGGGTATGAGACTCCAAATCTCGAACTTGCAGGTTCGAATCTGATAAGTAGCAAGGTTTTTACTAATTCGAGGCTTATTTCACTCTATAAAGCTGCTTTTTTGTCGTGTTTTCGGTACTCTTTGCGAAGAGCAGCTTCGCTTCTGTGTTTTTTTTTCATCGTAAAGATTGTGTTCTTTTTATTAAAGGAAATGAAGCGAGCTGGAAAAAATCAAAAGTCAAACCGCGAAACGTTAAAGTTGAGCTTGAACAGATTTTGAGACTTTTCCCGAGTGAAAAAAAAAAACAAAGAGGAATCTTCGCCGATATAAGAATATGCAATACGTTCATGTGACTAAAAATTTTTTTCCTTTTGTCAGGATGATTTAAATCAGCACTGTAGAATCACGAAAAACAGTTAGCGGAATAAACAGTTACCTACTGATTCAGGATTTGCGATTTGGGTTAGTTTTCTCGAAAAAGTGGCAATCAAATGAGAATCCTGAAATTCAAATTGCTTTAAGGTAATATATGTTTTTTTTTTCAGTAATCGAAAGTTGAAAAATCTTCAACTTTCCAACTTTGTTATTCAAAAAAGATAAGCAATTCTCTAACATTATTTCTAGAACGCGGAGAGCGTGACTTCCTGGTGATGCGTCACTCGTTCGAAGTGGAGAAAGTAGATGAGAAAACTGGCCAAGAGGGAATCGAGACAGTGAATGTGTCTATGGTCCAGTACGGAGACCCCTATGGATACTCAGCTATGGCCAAGTGGGTGGGACTACCTTGTGCACTAGCCACCAAAATGATACTCAAGGGTCAGTAGCAGCCAATCATTTAACATGACAATATTTGTCATATAGTTGCTGCCGTGGTCCAGTCTTGCAAGGCAATGCTTAAAAAACGTATACTGTATGGCTGAAAAGAATTTCTTCATAAATGCGCGAGAGTTTTATCTTAAATAACGGCAGTAATAACAATTTTATTTTCAAGCCAAAACGTTTACAATTTAGTTCGGCTTGGAATTAAGCCAAAAAGGCATCAGCCTGTCGGGTGTCCAATTTAAAAGCAAACATAAAAATGGCCTCGATAGTAGTCTAACAGATACCGTTGCTAACGCATCTAAATCTACCGTAGCCTGTAGTACCAGAATTTATGGATAGTTTCGAGCCTGTTTTTTTGCTCTTCTGCGACACGTTTCCGTTTCATACGACAAGTTTTCATTTCATATGCCTATGTACGGTGTCCGTTCTCGAAAATTATCTGCTAAGTGTTAAGAACATATTGCCAAAAATAAAGACCTTTTTTTGGTCGTTTGAATTTATAAACAAGCCAGCTAGGAAGCGTAGTGTTTTATTGCGAATCTACTTTGCCCAACTTATGTTTGAGAATGGCAGATTGGCCTCTAATTTGTTCTCGTTGAAGTTTGATTTTTTTGCGGTTTGATTATTTATGATTTTAGTTATAAGGTTTATTTTAGAGGGCCGTGGTTGAGAAGGACGATGAGGGATGAGTAGGCTTAATTCATAGATTGAATATTTGTTAAACAATGCAAATTTATTACAGTTTGCGGACTGATCGGACGGAAAAATGTAAGCTTCGACGCATAAAATAGAGAATTTTTGTGCCAATTTGTAATCAATGTCGTTTGTTCAATTAAGATTGTGCAAAATAAGCAGACCGAGATCTTTTTTGTAGTGTCAAATGCAGCTAATTTTTTAATCATTAAAAGTGAAAAATGAGAAAAAAAAATAGCCAATTTTACAAATTTTACATGTCAGGATGAAAAAATAAACCTTTATCTTAGGTCCAGGTATACAACGCCATGATTTCTGTTCGAATAAGGCTTCAAGAAAGCGCTTAAAGTTGTCAATCTATTAGTAGTATGAAGATTCCATGACAGTGGTAAATCGTAAGCAAGCATTTTAAATTGGAGTGAACAACGACGACACAACCTTGCCGCACACCTGAACTATTATTGAACTAAGAAGATACAACAGATTTTATCTTGACACGTTGCTCAGAAAGCTATATGGCTGCTTTGTCATCAGAATTCTGACCCTGGGATGAATTATTCTTTCTAAAAGCACCAATGTTTTTGAAAGGATGATAATGGGTATAATTTTTATATCAATGTTAGAATTGTTTTTATACCGCCGTAAAGAATGCTGTCTTTCAGTATGATGGCCATTCACACTAAATAAAGTCGTGTTTAAAGCAATAATAAACTGGTGGAGCTAAAATATCTGCACTTTGAACTAATAGAAAAGAAGAACACCATCAGGCCCGACAGAACATTGAGATTTAGAGTTTTCCAAACAATTTTTAACACTTGAAACAAGTGGACAAACTTCGGACAAGCAGATTTATTTTCTTAAATTTTCATTAACAACCAGAGATTTTGAGCTCGAGCGGAACGTTTGCAGTTTTTGCTGTTCCCGAACTAAAATGCTTAAAGCCAGGATATGAGTTATTCTTTCTGAGCAGACGGAGGAGTTGAAACAATTATTGCAGTTCTTCTCTTTACTTTTTTCAACTTAAAGATAATTGTCGAGTACAAGTGACTCATTCAAGTCGATCGTTTTTATTAGAAGAAATTTTTTTCTTTGATAAACTCTATTTGTCGAATTTTCGCTATGTAAATGCATTGTATGAGAATATTGAAAATATGGCGCTATGAACCTTTAGAGCAATATTTGATTTTATCGACATCTATTTCAGAAATTAATTAATTTAAAAGGTTAGAAGTGCTTTTAAAAAACCATATTTGCTCTTTTTCTAACCCAGGTGAGCTTGAGTAAAAAAGTATTGGTTAAAGATCGCTAAGGAAAATGTTAAAAGTAAAATGTAAGGGGATATAGTAGAATAATGAACTTAACATAATATGTAAGTAAAATGTACGGGGATATGGTAGAATAATGAACTAAACCTAATTTGTAATTGCTGAAAACCATATCTAATATTCCGTCACTGGTGAGAGTAGCTGAATTGAGAAATTATTTAAAAGCAATTTTGAAGATAAGTCAAATTCTGAAGTTTGAAATGCTTCAAGGCGATTATAGGTTCCGACCACTTCACTAGGTGGAAAGGAATTTTGTACTAGGTATGTTTTTCTCAGATTTGACTACCCGAGAGAAAGCTCGTTTATTGTCTAACTTAGACGAAAATTGTTGAGACGAAATGAATCTCGGAATTTTGGAAATGTTTAATCAATGCAGTCACTCTTTGCTTAAAAAGAATCGGCTTTAAGAAAAAAGTCGAAACGTTTTTTTTCTCGATATTTAGGAACATTTTTCGATATGTAGAACATTTTTTTCTTAAAATCATTGTACTCGAAACATTCTTTGCTGGCTGAACAGCAACTGGTTGTCCTCGATTTCTTTGAAACTCGAAATTTTAAACTGTTCCGTGAGAATTCAATTATTTTTTTGGGTTCCTTCCAGCTCATTTGCACTTTTTCAACTGACTGTTGGCTATGTTTGATGCTATATCCGCCAAAATTTGCTCAGATGCGGCGCTAATTGTTTTTTGCATGTGCCAAATGACTGTTCGTCGGCACAAGTTATAGCAGCGTTCTGTCGATGCTGATTATAGTTAGTTTTTTTGGTATAAAAAACAGTTTTTTAGGTTTTGACTTCCCCTGCCTCCGCCATAGAATTAAATATCCCGAATGAAATGAATTAAATAAAAAGTCATAGCTATTTAGGGGGAGGATTTCTCGACATAGTTTTATTTCATCAACCCTAAAGTTTTCTGAGGCGTCTTTGAGGGGAGCGTGCGCCAAAAACACGGTAATTTTCTGGTCAAAACTTTCCAAAAAGAGGGCAAAAAAACTGAATTTTTGGGAAAAAGAATTTTTGCCTTTTTTCAAGAATCCGCCTGTGAAACAAGCTCTTCGTAGATTTTTGGAAGACTTCGGAAAAACATTTTGGTCGTCCTAAAAAAAGTCTTACGTTTTTTTAGAAGAGATAACTGACAGAGGCTTCATCCGACCAATTTATAAGGACTTCTACAAACCCCTCTTAGCTCAACTCAGGGAAAATCAATTGGACGACTACTCGGAAACCTACTTCACTCCAAAACACTGAACAACTCAACTTAATAAACTATAGATAGTTTTCATCGGTAATATGACAGTGCAATAAACAGGTGTAGCAAAAAGCAAAATAAGAACACTATGAAAGAAAAAATGAGTACAAAAATTTTATTTACGGATAAATACTTCTTCTACCTACCTAGTCCTCTGAAATCAATATTATATCAAGATGTGTTAGTGTTGTTATTTTCGGGTTGCTACATCTGTGAATTTACGCACGACCCCTGTGTAATTTGGTATATGATGTGTTGTGTACTTGCTTTGTTGAAGACGACAGTTTTAAGTTACTTCAGCTCTCAGTTTTTGTGTATGAACAGAAGTAGTTTGCATAGTTCAGTCACAAGGATGTGAGCAGGATTCAGGTTGGAGCAGGGAGCAAACTACTCTACTGAAACTGTTAGCTTATAGCTAGAACGGAGTTATCATGAAAATCCATTTTATAGTTTTACATTTGGATATATCAAAATGTAATGGACAGACCTCGTCGATCAAGATTGGAGGGTTTTCAGACAAAAATATAGGAAAAACAAACATACAATTTGTAGCCAGAGACTAGGAGCTGTAAACCTTTAAACTAAAATTTTATTCTATATTTGTCATCTTACTTATCGATCATAGTTCGCGGGAGCGAGTTTGAAGTCACCTTTAGCGTCGAGATATAACACTGTCGAATTTCGCTTTCCTCGGATGAAGTTAATGTAACGTATCGTTTTTTTTGGGCGGAATAAACACTTTACATAACACTCCAGTTTTCTCAAATTGAGTTAGTTTTATCAAAAAATAGAACAATAAAAATTTTTAAATTAGATTGAAAGAAAATTTTTGCTTTTTCTCAAGCGTTAATTTCAGACAATATGCACGCGCGATGGGATTATTGGAATTTTGCATGTTTTAAAAGAGTTTTAATCATTCTCATTGCACCGACCACCCAATAAAAACTTTGAATTTTTGTCTAGTCACTTTTGACTGCCTCAAGAAAAGCTGGTGGGGGTCAGTATGGTGTAAAAATCATAGCACTATTGGTCGAGAAAACCTGGTCTAAAGTTTTGGTTTTCAGACTTAAATAGAACAAGAAGTAAATCTTGCTAGACTCTAAATTATTTTCAGGTATTTTTTTCTACTTAAATAAAAAAAAACTACAGAATTTTCATTTTTATAGATAAATTTTGTTCGTTTTTTTGGAAAATGAAGTTAGTTCACGCGCCATTTTGATTTTTCGAAGTTTGATTCATGTGATTTCTTTCGCAGTTCACTTCGTTTCTTTTGTTAAATAGAGGCAAACTCCGTAATCGAAGGCAAAAGTACAAATTTTTGAGAAACGTGAGTGTAGTTTCAACACAGACTTAAGTTATCTGAAACATCTATCACTTAAGTTATCTGAAACTTCTCTGACTTAATCTAACTGAAATCTTAAGTTATCTGAATTCAAAAAACAACTGTCGATCTAGTTTTTTCTAACTGCGAAAATTTCATGAAGCAAGTTCGAATCATAAACAGTAATTGAAAGTCAAAGAGCCTCAGTGATCTAAATTAATCGCAGTGTGTAATTTCCATTTAGTTTTTTTATTTTCTTGTTTTTTGACACTTTTGACTTGTCTGTTGGCTATGTTTGCAGATCGAAATTTTTTCATAGCATGTTTCTGTCTTCTCTTGCAATTCTGCTGTTTTTAGGAACTTTGGCATTTTTGTTTGTGTAATGAAGAAGAAAGGATCACTTGTCATTTATCAAGAGTCGATGAAGTTTGTTCAGGCTGCAATTTATTTTTTGCTCTTTTACTTTTGTTTCATTCTAAAATTCACCCCTTTTTTGTTGAAAGGAAGGCAAACTCCACTATTGAACAGCTAAATTATAAAAGTAACGAAAAACGTGATTAACTTTTAGCTTTTAAAGTGGAACTCAATTATCAAAACTCGAAGAAATATAACTTCTAGCTATTAATCTAGTTTGCTCAAATTGGGTAAACTTTATCAGACAAGTTTCAATCATAAATTGTTCTAGAGCTTTTTGTTTTTTTTTTGAAATTTGAAAGTTGAGATTGTTTCAAAAAATATGTCCATATTTTTTTTTCTTTTTATTTGCGTTCATTGACTTTTTCCATCTGTCTGTCGGCTGTGCTAGATAAATCGCGATAATAGTTTTCTTAATTTTTCTCTCAGAATTGAATATTGATTTTTTAAAAGTTTTTCTTTTGTACAAAAGAAGGCAAGCATCAAAATCGAACAGCAAAGCAAAAATTTCAACTTCAAGTAAAACTTAAATTATTTCTAATTTCACAAAAAAAAACTTGAATATTCTGAGTATATGAACCAATTTTATCCAATTTATGAAATTCACACAATTTTAAAGTGATATTTTTTGTTTTGTTCGAAAAAAGGGACAAAATTTTTAATTCCAGAATATTTAAAATAAAATATTCTGGTTTCTTTGAATTTTACATTTTCCAACCACCTGTTAGTTGTGTTTGAAATATGTAGTTGTACATCTGTATAAAATATAATCTGTCACGCTTTTTGAAAGCAGATTGTGATTTAAACAATTTCTATTTTTTTGATGATTAATTTAAAATCTGATGATTCATTTTGTTTGTTCTTACATCGGAATTGAACCTGATCAGTCAGTGTGAGAGTTCACAACAGATATCCTGCGCTACTGCCTCAACAGATAAAGTGCTTTCACTCCAGTAGAAAATTGAGTTTTTCCAGCGTTCTTTTGTGCTCCTTTGAACTTGTTTTCGGCGACTTCTAAACAACTGATGAAAGCAGTTTTCTGAATAAAATTGTAACTTCATACTCAGAAAATGTCAATTTATGCCTGAAAATGTATGATTTTTTCTTCAAATAGGATGATATCTTTTTTATGTTTAAATAAGCGACAAACAACTGTAAATTTGAAGACAATGTCATCTGCTAATTTCTATATATGATCTCGCTTTTTTAAAAACAATACTATCAAAAAGCCAATGAACTGATTACGAAAAAAGTGATAAATAAACTGCAATTTTTTTTTTCATGACAACCGAAAGCTGTCATTTGAAAAAAAAAACTAAGAAACTGGAAATTTGAATACTTATTTGGTGTTGCTACAAACATTTCGATAACTATTTGAAATAGCAAACAGCTGCCATCTTGGGAATTGTCAGTTAAGATATTTTTTAATTGCAACATACTCTTTTTACTACTTTGAGTGGTATAAATTGGGGCAAATTGTCCAGGAAGGGGTGTGGACCTCGATGTAGTAAGATAGGCCAATGAATTCCGGGACCGCACTCTTGTAAGTTTCAAAACAACTTTAGCGCCCGAATTTCCCATGTTTTGAGGTGTTGTATAGTTTTTCACATGTATTAGGATTGGCAAAAAAATCAATGTTTTAAGCTAAGAAATAGAGTCGGTAAAGTATAAGACACAAAGTTTCAGTAGAAAAAAAAGGTTAAAAAAATAGTTTTTTTTGTGTGTACAATTTTTTAGCAAATTTTATATCGCTTATGTGCAGAGTGAAGAACTAAATCCAAATTGAATGAAAAATGATATCATGTTCAGACAATGAAACAAATTTTAAGGGTTTTGCAGTAAAAAATGGAATTTTTTTCAAATTTCCCTCAAAAATTTAAATTACGATAAGATTTCATCTAGCTTAAACCGAAATGTGATCTATAAAGTGTTCTAACTATCAATAGCAATGTTCTTAATAGCTAAAACTATTCAGAAACCTAGCTGAAACGTAGTCGAAACCTCCGAATTCTCGGAAAAATTGTGAAAATATCAGAATATTTGAAAAATTAAAGAGAAACTTACTCATAAAAAACTCAAAAAGCTGTTCTAATTTCTCCAATTCGCACATTTTATATGCATAGTTGATTAACTTTCTGTTCAAATAAATATAATAATAGTTACCAACCTTAACTCAAATGATCAATTATAGCAAAAATCATGAAAATTTGTTGAAAAAATCTCAAGACTAGATTTGATTTTGCTTCGTTTTTTGTCAAATAATAACTCAAACTTATACACAACGACAAAACTAAAACGCTGTTTCTATTTCCACTTTAATTAAATCATTAAACAAATTTCGGAACTTGAAAATTTTGTTTAGTTACCATAAGAGAGTTTTTTTCACAATTATAATGTTAGTTTGTAAAACGGGACAATGTTGAAGGAAAAATCACAGTCAAATTTCAAAAACTACAAGTTTGCTTAACGAAATTCATTGCGGTAGTAGTTCGCCATTTTTGGGAATCAAATAATGTTCTACTTTCTGATCTGCACTAGAACAAAACACCAAGTTCTGGAAAGAATTTCATTTTATTTAGTTAAGTGGAGATCTTTGATTAAAAAAAAACATTTTGCTGCAATAATCACTCAAAATTGTGTGAAAAAATTATTTGAACTATATCTGAATAATGTTAAAATTGAAGCAAAAACCCTTGGCAAGTATTCGTAACCGATGTCTTCAAAATAAACAACATAGCATGTACTTTTCCAGAACTTCTAATGGTTTAAGTAATTTCCTTCTTTTTGTTTTTATTTAAGATCTCTCAATTGAATCCAAACTTAGTCAAAACTAAAAATCTCAGAGTAAAAATTGTATCAATTGAACAAAAAATTTGCAGGCAAATTTAAAATTAATACCACAAACGTTTGAATCTTATTTTGTAAAACGTGCGACTTAAGATTTAGGAGAGAAAAACTAACTCAATAGCTATTGTACATATTTTCAACAAAATCTATCAAAATCAATAAGAAATTCTATTTTATCAAAACTTTTGGAAGTGTTATTGAGCTTTTGTCTTTGTAATATGTGAGCGTTTTAATACTGATTTTTTTCAGGTGAAGATTTGTCAATTCTGCCCTCATTGTTTTTCATGCCAGCTTTCATCTTTCGGGATTCATTTATGTGGGCAAAAGAAGAAAAAAAGACAAGAGTGATTTTTTTGGAACGAACTAATGCGATGCTCATAGGATTCCATTTCATAAACTCACTCTCACGCTCAAAAAATGAGACAGGGACTCCAAGAGAGAAATTTATTCGTATTTTGGGCCAAATTATTGTCTAAAATCATTCAATGATTTGGAAAATTTCTAAACTAATAATATAATCTCGATAAAGTACATGGTAGCGGCTAGGATTTTGCAAGAGTGACGATTTCCAGCGAGTTTTGAAGTTGTTCAAAACATTAAGGGCCATGTATGGTAAAGAGTCAAAATTTTCCAAAATGTTATAAGAAAAACATTTGAGTTGTCGAGAGACTGCGCAACCCACCACCTCGCAAAATCCTGCTCCTTCAGTTTGCTAATCACTGATTAAAATAGTTCAAAGTCTTTAAATTACTACTGCTTCTACTTTTCGACCATGAACTTATGCACTGGACTGTCTACGCTAGTCATGTGCCAATAGAACAGCCAGTAGCAGATCTGCATCAGAAGAAATGAGGACGGGAAGCCAATTCGTGAATACGTTTCCAGCTTTGAAGCCGACAAATTGCATCTGAACAAATTGAATTCGCTCTCATTTATGAATCCGCGAGATAGCTGTGAAATGTTTTGCTCTGTGTTTTCTCTGATAATTTCAACGTTAGGGCATTTGTAGTCCTCAGGGTCACTGCGATAACTGCATAAGGAGGTTTCTACCTCTTGGAATGGAACTGTTTCTAACTGATGTTCCACCATCTTTTCATCAGGCGTCAGTTGAGACGTCTGGCGTATGACTGGGTTTTGTAATGCACATTTTTCTAGTGCGATGGCAGCAGATCTATTCTTTTCCTAAACAAAAAAAAGGCTTCAGTTTTTGTTTCCGACATAGCACCACGAAGCAAAAGAAACTCCTCTATAAACTTTTCAAGCCTTTCCAATTACGTCCAAACATGATGAAAGAATGATACGAAGATTTATCTACCAGGGAAAAATCGAATATTCTAGCTGTTTATCTCTTTATGTAGAACTGCTTTGAATTAACTGCTTATAATTAAAATGATAATTTTGCGTGGACAATTTATGTTTTCAATCATTATCACGGCTTATCATTTTATATAACACCAAAGTTGAACCCTTCCTAGTGGAACCAGTTCAAACAAGTATTTTTTATATAGTTTGATAATTACCGCTGTAAAATATTTAGAATTAACTATAACCAATCATGATCCATTACTGAAAACTATGATAATTTGAAAAGCTGAAACTCTTAGTTTCAGCCAGAGAAATGTAATTTAACTTAGAAATCAGTTGCCTCTTTCTCTCCTCTAACCTCGTAAGAATAACAGTATGCACTAGATCTATTGAGAATAGGACATAAAAGAGTAAGATTAGATCGGTACAAGACAAAGAAGTTGCACGAATCTATCCAGCCGAAACCAAGATAGCGCGACGAACAGACGGTGTATCCTAGAAAAGTTACTCTATGAGAATGCCAACCCAGATCTAAACTCATTTAGTGCGACCAAAGAGTCTCGATCAGGCCTATACTAACTTAGATTTAGAAAAATCTTGATTTAGAAAAACTTCAAAGAAATAACAAAACAAATCAATAATAGAATTAGCTTATTTCAATGTTCCAATAAATCTCATCAAACCAAGCCAATACTAAAGACGAAACCAGATCACAACAAGGTTGACAGACCAAGAACTTGCATCGCAAAGCGAAAAAACTGACGACAACGACAAAACTTCAAACCTTTTTATGCAGTAAAATTAAAATTTAGGCACTATATGAACTGCATTAAACAGAGCCGTAAAACTGCAGTACTAAGCAATAAATTTTGAATGAAACACTACAACAAAACGAATATGTAAAACAACAAGATGTCGACAGACAGCTTCGCCTATTCTCAATCCCAAAATCTGCAGTAAAATTCAAAAACTTTTGTGTAAAATTCATAAATTATTTAAGAAACACAAAAGTACCAACAAATAATAGTATAAAAGCTAGTTGTTGTTAGTTTGGTGATACTTCCTTCTTGAGGATCACTATCTTTCCCTGTATTTTTTTTCGGAAAAAATCAAACAGTTTAAAGACTAGCTTAATTAAGAACAAGATCATCAAGACCTTTCTTGAACCTTTGGCTATTTTAAAATAATTAAACTATACAATCATCATGACTTCTCCTTGATTTTTACTTTCAACCCCTGAAATGTTTCATTTTGAATTTTAAATTAGATCATCAAGGCTTCTCTTTGGATCTTTACTATTAATTTTTTTGCACCAAATCTTTCTTAAAACCAGATCATCAAAAAGTGTTTCCTTAAATATCTTAAATTTTTTCTTTCTTATTCGAACCCTACCGCCATTAAACAATTGTCTAACAACCTGAAGCGTTAATTCACTCTCAGACTTTTCCAAGCTATCCAGGACTAATTGAACTTTTTTTCTTACAAACTCAAATTTTTAATTAAGATAAACAGTGAAAAACTTCAGTTAATCATCCTTCACTTGACACCTATATATTGTTTGACGCAACACCATAAACAAACTTAGAATAGTTAGCGCTACTATCGTATCTAGTGATCTACTTGGGTTCATTCTATACCTGAACCTTGCGAATTGTTTTACTATTGTCCAACCCTCGATCTCATATTGATCACCATCACGTTTGAGAGCATTAAACCATCATTCTATCGAATTGATATACTCTCTCTCTCTCTCTCTCTCTCTCTCTCTCTCTCTTCAACCCGCCTTTCCACGACAAAACGACCCAAAGGTTTAGGATAACTTCACAAAAAGAGTAAGAAATAACAGTTCAGGAGATAGCAATTAACACCTGGATTTTGCAGCTATCATCCTAACAGTTATGTCAAAAAATAGTTTAGAAAATAAAAAAACGATAGTTTTACACAATTGCCTTATTCAAGATTTCAGGTGCGACTTTGCAAAGTTACCACACAAATATAAAATTGGATATATAAAATAAAGAAAACAAAAAAGAGGACTTTATCCTAAAAGTTGTTTTTCTTGGAAACGAAAAGCAATTTCAGAATTTGTACAACAACCATACAAAACCTCTAAAACCTCCAAAACCAATCTTAAAAACGAAGATAAACGAAAACTAAAAATTAATTTTCTAGGAAACGAAACGCAATTTTAGAAACTGTACAACAACCATACAAAACCTCGTAAACCTCCAAAACCAAATAAACATATAAAAAAAAGGATTTGAATAACGATATTTTTCTGATTCAGAAGCAAAAACAGCATCATCAATAAAAGGTAATTGTAGAACAATTATGAAAGAAAACCAGTACAAACATACACTTGGAATCAACCTATACGACATATTGAAATCTTACACATTATTAGTAAAAAAAAACTCGACAAGTCTTTGTCGTACAAAATTTGAAAACTTTAAACCACAATCACCCGAGCGCTGTTTTGTCCAAACACAGATTTCTACAGATTTCTAGATGTTTGTTGCTCCGACTATTTTTGAAGAAAATGACGGAATACTTGTGCTCGTGTTGGTTTATTTTCACCAGATAAACTGAGACTCTCTAATTAACAGTTTTTGACGCAAGTTTTTTACAATCGAAAAGTATTGTTGTAATTACCTCAAATAAATTATTTTAATTTATCAGTGATCATTTTTTGTGAAAATATGGGGTCTTGGAAAGTGCCAATTCGGGACTATTATCGAGCGACATAATTCGTATAACTAACGCATAGGCGGAAAATTAATCCGTCTTAGAATTTATTTCAAATTGAATTGAGGCAAGCTATTTTCATTAATTGATACTTCAATTTAAACGAATTATACCTTTTTGTACTTTGAATAGCCTGTGATAGCCTAAGGGATGATTTACAAAAAAAAACTAAAACTTAATTTTAATTTCTTCCTTGACTTTAAAGTTGCACCCTTTTTTCAAAAGGAAGACTGCGTCATAAGCAATAAAATTCAGCCGGTGCATCTGATACGAGCAGTTTTGTATTTGTCTGCCTATGAACCGAACTGTGAGTCCAATAGTGCTCCCCCAGGCAGTCAATTTTTTAGTCTTGGTTGGTAAATGTGCTTAATTAACTACCCACAATGTCCAAAATCATTTCAATATCATGATCAATATCAATAAAAATTTAGCATTTTTACCGGCACTAAAGACAAAAATTATTAAATTACTAATGAGGCACTTCTCTGATCAATTACAAAAATCAACCAAAAATTGTATCCGGCTCAAACCTATAACCTTGGCACTGACTCTAAGCAAGGGTAAAACTGTTTGCCTTAAATTAAAAAAAAAACCAACAAAAAATTGTTATAACTATTGTATCCTTTCAAAATATTGGGTCTTTTTACTTACTCAGCCCGAATTTTTCGTAAAAGTAACTCTATGAAGCAGAGAACAAAAAACGAATGGTGCTCGATGAGTCAATACATTGCGTTGACTGTTTTCTCTAGCCGTTTTCCTGCAAAACCGAATCTCGAGCAGATGTGAAATTGGTCAATTTATTACTAATTTTTATGACCAGGACAAAATTATCTATTTTCGGTCATTTCGGCAAATTTATAATTCGACTGAAAATTGTGAACAAAATAGTTCTAGCTGGCGCTGGGTTGTGATTGGCTGACTGTAGCAAATCAGATTCAAGAAAAATAGTGTCAAACTAAAATGTGAAAATATTGAATTCGTAAAAATATTAAGAAAAACTAACCAAAACGTTTTCGTAGCACCTGTTACAATAAAAAAAAACACGGGAAATTGTCGTTTGCTATTACGAATCATTATAAGCGATCAAGGGTCATTTCTGTTATACGGCCCAAAATTGACCAAAAGGTTTCCATATATTTACTACCTTTGTTGTGAGGTAGCAGGTAGACGCGAACTCCAGTATAGCCCCGAAAACATACACAGAACACAAGGCGAAATACACGTCCAGGGCCTTTACTTCGGATACCTTGGGCAGATTGGAGTTGGTGGTGCCTAAGAGCACGCTTCTGATAGCGCCATTTGATCAAATTAATTATTAAAAGCCAATTCAACTTTGTTTGTTCAGGTGAGCAATAGTCTATTTAATTTGCAATTGTAATTTTTCTATTAGTTGCAGTTTTTCGTGATGTCGAAATGCTAATGGTGCTTAAAAACACAGTTTGAAAACCGCATTTGAACAACAGCTGATATCAAGTTGGTGCGCTGTCGTCTGAAGATGCGTCTTACAGTGGATTTTTCATACATCTATATTGCCTTTAAAAATTGTTCTACAAGCGGGGGAAAAAAGAAAAAGCTAGCAAATCTATGCCAATAATATGCAAAATAATATTCAAAGATGTGGCAAATCCAAATTTTGGCATGAGAAGCGTGTGTTTAGTTGGTTGCCTATGAGTGTGATGAGGGTGAGGATGGAGGTGATGGAGAGGGAGGCCCGGGCGGGGATCGAATTGCGATTGACCCAGAATGACACCCACGACAAGAACACGATCAGGGTACTGGGAACATAGCTAAAACACACTTAGAGAATTGGAATCTGAGTTCAATGCAAACATATCACAAGTTTAACAATATCATCACTAGATGTTCGTTTTTAACGGGGTCTTATTTTGCACTCTTACAAGTAGCTAAAAGTTTTTGTTCCGATTACGTCACTGAAGTGGCTAGAAGGAACCTAGGATTTGCTAGTATTTTTTAGCCCATTATAAGTACCTAAAAGAAAGCTCGCAGGGGTCAAGTAGGGTATAATTTTCACGGGAATCCTCGCCAACCAAAACCCCCCTCACTTGATATTCAATTGCGATGTCCTTTTTTGAATAACCGACAGTTAGCTTTGTAAAAATAAAATCTTATGGCGCAATTTGGGAAAATTCGGAAAGTCAGTTTGGTCGAATTGGAAAAAAAGTCGACAAAATTTTCAAAAATTGTTTTTTTTTATAAAAAGCGCCTCTCTCTCGAAATTAACTCCTAGATCTGGCTCAAAAATAAATAAACTAGTGTCTCAAAATGGAGAGGGACTCTTTGGTATGCTTTAGTTTTTTCTCTTTTTGTTTTCCAAAATCAGTGACCCCAAAATAATGATCAGAACGAATTGAATGCTATATCATATTAAAGCCTTTTCATTCACAATTCAAACGACCTTAAACTGTTTTCAAAAAGTAGTCCAAGTATCGAGAGAAGTAGAGCGATTGAATAGGACTTGTAACGAAAAATTTTTTTTTAAATTTGGGTAAGTGAAAAACTTGCTCTTACTCCGCGAAAACTAGTTTGGAAAGCTTCATTTAGAAGTCTTTGGCAATGAAAAGGTTTTTTAAAAAATCAAGCAATTTTCCACGAAAAAATCAGAAAGTGTATTAAGTTTTTTTTCTATTTTTTTCTCACTTTTTTTCTCACCAAAATAATGATCAGAACGAATTGAATGCTATATCATATTAAAGCATTTTCATTCACAATTCAAACGACCTTAAACTGTTTTCAAAAAGTAGTCCAAGTATCGAGAGGAGTAGAGCGATTGAATAGGACTTGTAACGAAAAAAAATATATTTAATTTGGGTAAGTGAAAAACTTGGTCTTACTCCGCGGAAACTAGTTTGGAAAGCTTCATTTAGAATCTTTGGCAATGAAAAGGTTTTTAAAAAATCAAGCAATTTTCGACGAAAAAATCAGAAAGTGTATTAAGTTTTTTTTATATTTATTTTCTCTCTTTTTTACTTTTTTTGTTGTTTATTCTTTTTTTTGAAGACAGATATGATTATCGGTTATGTATAATCGACTAACATGCTATGCATTTGAATAGTTTTCTCATCACAAAACACACAAAACTCGACTTTTTTCAAAAAAAAATCTTTTTTGTACTTTTTTATGAATGTGGTCGGAGGATTCTGTTCTACTTGCTCATCAACCAGCTATTCTTTTTAAAGTATAGAACTTGTAGTCAAGGAGATGGGAATATCAATTTGGATTATCAAGAAAGGTACTCAGATTTCGAAAAAAAACTATCCCGCCTTCCTAAAAACTCTAGATCCGATTCTTCTAAGCTTTTAGCCTTAAATTTGCAGAGCAATTCTATGATAGAAAAATAATTTATTCAAGAAAAAAGTAGGCCTTCCAACCATGTTACAAATCTTCTTCCAAACTATGAATGATTTATGACTATAACAAGACTGACCTTTGCAGGATGAAGTACATGAGATCTCGTTTGAACAAGAAATTGACCTCCAAATCAGAGAAGTTCCCAGTTGAGAACTGCAAAGTAAAACTATCCACTATGGTGTCGACTAGAGAGAACTGGGGGACCTGAAGGTGGTTGGGCACCTGCACTGCTGGCTCCTCCTCCGATGACTCATCCCACTCCAGGGTGAGATCTTTGGTTGTGTAGCCATAGCACTCAACCAAAAGTTTGCACACCTGAAACATCTTCATTATGATTGTTTCAGGATAACTTGATTTGAACAAGATTTCAAGACAATTCTTGTTAATTGAGAGCTAGACAAATTTTTCCAACCACGAAAAATGATCAAAAAACAGTTTTAAACATTTAAAATAGCTCTATTATTACCCTTGCGATCAGCAAGGATTTCCTAATAATTTAATCTTGCCTTGTGAATACAATAAAATGAGAAGCGGATCTAGAATTTTCTTGGTGGAGGAGGATTTTTCAAAAAACTCTTTTGTCGACCTATTTTTTTTAAGACCGACTAAATCGATTTTCTGAGCTCTCCCAAATCACTGTAATGACACAATTTTGGCCAAAATTGCTGCGCCGCAGGCAATATTTTGAAAACATTAGGCCAAAAAAGCCGTCTTAGGTCACTTTTTTAAGAAAGTTTTGACCAAAAAATTGCGTTTTTCGACGCTCGCTTCCCCTCAAAGTTGATATATTTTTGGCCCTTCCCCGTTTCGCGCCCCTTCCTCCCCCCTTCCCCCAAATATATCCCTGAATGAAATAGTGTCTACCTGCATATCCATTGGAAAGTAGTGTAGCTTCATAGGACACTTTGCAAATATGGTCACTCTGGCACTGTACAGTATCTTGCCGTCTGGGAACAGTCTCAATAACACATTGGGAGTCATCACGTCTTGCTTGTCCGCACTCAGAGAGTCTGGAAAGTAGGTGTCCGGAGTCCAGATGCGTTTCAGGAACTCATGGGAGAGAGTGAAAGTGTTGTTGTATTTGTCATCGTAGCGCAGCCTAAAAATAAATAGAAATATGAAAGGTTCGGTTGAAACAAAAATTTATTTAACAGTTTATTGCGATGTCTGTTAAAAGCTCGAATTATGATTTCTAGACAAAAGTTTGGCCACATTTTTTCAGCAAAATCATTCAAATCAATCTAATTATACGAAATTTTCATAATCAAACACGCTCGGAATTTTTTCTTAATACCTTTTCGGAAACGGAATAGCAAAAAAGGGCCTCAATTTGAAGTTAAAATTTTTGTGTTTGGAGCATTTTTTGAACTATCTCATTTTACGTAAAAACCACACCATCGTTTTTTCTATTTTTTTCAAGAGTTTTCCAAATAATAATTGAAGAAGACATCGCACTTTATCTTTTTTAAATCAAAGACTGAGTTTTGAATGCATGGTGACAAATTGTTTGTAACTACTCACTTAAAACTGACACATCATTGTTTCGACCACCCCAATAAATGGATGAGAATAAATTATGGATAGGCTTTTTTCCGCCCAATTTTGCTTACCGATTTGCAAAGCACGAAGAGAACTCGTATGGCAACAAGTCTGATATCATATTCAAGTTTTTCAGCTTTTTTCTTTGTGATTTGGAAAAGAATTAAAAAAGTTACCTCAGTACTGAGAAAAACTGATCTGAACTTTTCCGTTCTTCAGAAAAAATACACGGGCATGAAACTGAGATCATACACAAGGCAGTTTTTAGATTATTTGAGCAACTATTGACCCACTGTTGCAGCGTAGTATTTTGCGTAGTTCGATTGATCTTTATCCTAAAAACACCAAATGATGCATAGAATTTTTGATTAAATAAAACTTTCAGGGATTTAACATTTTTTTGATGTTTTCACAATTTTGAAATTTTTTTCTTCCTTATTCCAAATTAAACTTCGGCGGTCAAAGCATTCTGTTCTACATGCACAGTGACCCTTGTTTCAGTTAATGGAAAGTAGTTTTTGTAGTAGCTTTTGTATTACTTCTTCTGTCCAGATAATTGACCGGCTTTTACGCTGATACACAAGTTTGTTAGAAAAAACTTCGTCATCAGGCCAAACTCGATTGTTTTAGAATTCAAGTTTTGTTCGTGAAATTGTCATTTGAATCCTCTAGAAATCTCAAAAGATCCACAAAAATTCAAACATACTTTACAGTGAAACATATGGTGAAAAAAAAAATATATATATACGGTGAAACCAGCCAAAATATGAGCAGTTTTATGGTTTCTAAAGTTAATGAAGATTTCAGCAACACTAATTTGTTTTAGAATCCGGAGACAAGCGCGTTTGGTTGAAACTCATGTATTATGCGTTTTGTGAGAAATCTGAAACTATCCCTTTCAACTCGGCAATTTGGTACTTCTGGATTCGATACGACGCTGAACTCCAATTCTATTGATTGTTTTGATTTCTTTCATTTTTTACACGGTGATAATCATCTATTGAACCTCGGTTGTTTGACTGTGAAAACATTTCTTGGTAGTTTAATTAGGCTACAACTCCTGGGTTATATATTATAGGTTTGAATTAATTCTTTGAATTTCCCGGTCAATGGTCGAATCCATGTCTCTGATCTTTTGCTTTTATATTTTGAGCAATGCAGCTGAGCAGAAGTATTTGAAATAAAAATTAACTTTTTCTGCATAACGAGGCCAAACTGTGCATTCTGGGCGTTGTAAACGGACTCCGCAGCAGAACAAAATCAGATTTGTCGCGGAATCCGCAACATTTTTTTTCTTTGATCTTCTTTGCTGTTTTGGATTCCACAAACAAATACTTAAGACATTGTACCGCTCATAATCGCTCCAAAAACAGGCAAATTTGCGGAATCTGCAACTGTTTTTGCGGAATCCACAAACAATTGATAAGACATTTGTATCGTTAAATTGAGCTGTTGTGGAATCCACAACTGTAAGTCGAATCCACAAATTGTTAGTGGAAGAATCCTCAAATAGTAAGTGGAATCCGCAAAATGTTGGTGGAAGAATCAGAAAATTGTAAGTGGAATCCGCAATTTGTAAGTGGAATCCTCATTTTGTTTGCTCAGATTTCCACTTATATTTGAGGATTCCACATACATTTTGCGGATTCCACTTACATTTTGCGAAACCACTTACAGTTGCGAAATCCAGAACAACTAGCTATATTTGCTTATTGCAGAACCCGCAACAACACAATTGTGCCGACAAAACTTACGTTACAGCTACTTGTACGCGGAATCCAGAACATTTTTGTAAGTGGAATCCATTTACTTTTTGGAACATGTTTAAAGATTTGTCTCTGGAATCCAGGAACATACATCCAGGAAATTGTTTACAGTTACGCCGTTCAAGATTAGCTCAAGCTTTGACACAAAATTGTGCGCCTATCCAGTGCACAGTCTGGCCTCGTAATGTGATCAATTCGAAAAAAAATCACGTCTCTTATCTTTCTTGGATCAAGTTTGAGTGCTGATGAATGGTCATAGCTGCTACATATTGATTACTTCTACTTAAGAAACCTGTAAATAAAAATATTTAAAATTGTTTACAGTTACGCCGTTCAAGATTAGCTCAAGCTTTGAAATTAACCTTTGATTTTTAAGATTTTAACAAGTGGAGACACCAAAAATCTACCATTCATATGGGCCAAAAATATGAGCCAAAAAATATGACTCAATATGAGCCAAAAAAATGGAAGAAATTAATTTTTTCAAAGAAGCTTTCACTAATCGGACTAGTCTGGATAATGAGCAAATCTTCCGCCAATTTGAAATTTAAAGTTAAATTTTTTTGCGCAAACTACTTACCTTTATTGGAGATGATATGCAAAAAAATGAATATGATTTTGAGAGTATGAAAGAAGATATTTTTTTATTAGTTCTGATATTCTTTCGAGTTTTTATTTTTATTGAGTAAAACTACTTTAGGTATTTTGCGGGGCAGTCAAAGATTCCAGGTTTTTTTTCTAATACAAACACTCTTGTTGTCCCATATTTCGAAGTGCTGCGGGAGATTTATGTATGGGTTCGTTATTTTATTAGGTCAATTTTGGTCGATCGAAGTAATTGTTTCTTTCAAAAAACTCGCGTACCCCATTAAAGATTTCGACTCTTTGAGCTTGAAAGAAAAATGATTTTCTACCTTTGTTTTTTTTGTTAAGTTCTGGGGCTTGAAAATGGCCAATTCGGCCATAATTTTGGATTAATTTATGCGCGCTGTGAAAATTGTTATGCTGAGAACGTAATACAGCTTAATATTGCGTGGTAAAAAATTTTTCCGACTTTCGTAACGAAAATAACAGAGTGTTTGTGGTCGGGGTGGTTTTTTTCAGACAAATTTTGACCTTTTAACTAGCCGTTTTTGACGGAATTTATTTATATCATTCAAGAGGTTTTGTTGTGTTCACCTTAAATTTGAAAAAATATTTAACCTGTGATTAACATTTTTTGTGAAGTTAATGGGGTTCAAAGATTGCCATTTTGGCCAAATTGAGATAATTAACGCGCGATATACTCCGCGCTATTAGAGCGTAAGCGGATATTTAATCTGTCTTAGAAATCTTTCCAAACTGGTTGAAGGAAGCTTTTTTGCAATAGTTGATTTGTTACTAGGAGCGAAATTTATTACTTTGTACTTTATATGGCGTGTGGGGAAATGATTTTCTCAAAAAATCTCAAATTTTAATTGTTTTTTTTTTTCGTTTTATTTATTTAAATTTAGTTTTTCATGTTTTCATGCACCATAGACCTTCAAAGGCAATCGGGACATTCAAGGCCTTGCCCTGATACAAGCAGTTTTGTTCTAATTTACAAAATTGTTCTAAGCCAAATTGACACAAGCTAATTGGTCGTATTAAGTTCGAACTATTCATACTTTCACAGTCTGAACGCTATTTAATAAAAGGATATAAATGTGTGTATATAAACGCAAAAGCAACATCAATAATTTTTTCTCGATACTGCTAGTGTAATAAAGACATTGAGTATTTTTTGACATCGACGTCAATTTTTTGGCACCCGCATCACAGCCAAAAGGTTTTTACTAAAGTATAACATTTGTCGCAAGCTAACTTTATCTGTGATAGCTGATTTTGTGCCGAAAAGCAATTACCTGAAGCCATCAGTTTTCAGACACTCGAGGGAGCAAAAAACCAATAACGGTATCCCCCCTAAAAACTAAAACCACTCGTCTTCTCTTTGAATGCTTTGTTTTTTTTGTATCGATATCTTTGTTGACATAATTGAGCAAAGTACACAGCAAATGGCAACCTTAATTTCTTATCTTACCCCAAACAACATCTACACAAGAAATATTGAGAATTGTTTCCAGTTACGTTCAAGTTCAAGATTATCTCCAATTCTAAAATCATTCTTTGAGATATCGAGATATCATAAAAAGAGGAGATATCATAACTTTACCACTGATGTTTGTGCATATGAGCCAAAAGAATTAGAAGATAACTTTCTCAAAGAAGCACTAATCAGATTAGTCGTCTGAACAAAGCGAAATTCCTAAGCCTTTTTGAACTAATTTTTCCGCAAAGACGTATTTCCGCAAATATGAAGTTTAATATTTCCGCAAAGACTACTCCCCTATCTCCTCAATAATTCTCCCGTGCAACTGCCTATTCCTCGCCTCTAACTGAGGATTTTAAAGTTTTACCTGGCATCTTTCCAAATCTGTCTGAAGGAAATATCCAGTCTGAAATTCATGTTCACTTCGGAAATGGGCCCAATACTGTCCACGTGCATAGAAACTCGCACCCTAACCGGTCTGCCCCCAAAATTGGGCCTCAGATTGGCGTCGTAATTGTTCACGAGTCGCTCCAGAAGCTCCGACATTTCATCCGACAGATTGTTGCAATTTACCGAACGAAATATAATTAGAAAAGAAGCAATGAGTTGAGCTGAACTGAACATTTTTCTAGCTCAATTAGATAAAAGCTCGATAAATCAATTCACGAAAGTGATCAAATATGTTGAAAGTAAGGTCAATTGATAAAATGTATGATACAAAAGCTTCAACAAGGTACTTTTTTGGTCAGGTAATTCTTTGAAATTAATTGAATCAACTTCAAAAGCTTGGAATATTTTTTCTCAATATATCCTTAATAACTTAAAAGCAAACATTAAAAGGTTGAAAAAATCTCTTTAACTATTGCAAGTTGGGTTAAAATAGGTCAAAATTTTAAATAGGGGGGGGGGGTAATTAAAGAGGGTATAATGCTTAAATGCTTAACCGATTGACTTAATTTTTTATACGTGTGTACGTGGGATTTTCTATACTAGGTATCATAGGGGTGGGGTAATCGAAGAGATCATAAAGTACGAGTTTTTAAAAGATAACTTTTTAAAGTTAACTACAAGAGGGGTTTGGGTGGGGTCGGGCAATGCTATTTCCTCAATATACTGCAAAATGTCAACTTGTATGAAACTGAGCAACGCAACTATTGAAAAGGAGATCAGAGGAGACGTGAATCGGAGACAGTTGGTTGCAGTCAATTTGGCCTAAAGGGTAAAGATAAATTGACAATGATCGAATCGAATCGAGGAGCGGCTGAAAGGAAGGAAAAGGAAGTCAAATAGGTAGACTTCAATCAACTAATTATCTAATCCCCCAACCCTGCTGGGAACGATTACCAGTCAAATGTAAATAATCACGAAGACACTTCAATATTGCCTCGTTTTCAAATTCAGTTTCAAAAAGATGTTTTTACTACTGCTTTTCATGATGGCCATGAACTATGAAAGAACAATTCTATATCTTAAAATTAGAGGTTCAAATTCCTTACGTTTCCGATTTTATTTTTATGCCCACTTATGCGACTAAATACTGTCAAAAAACTGTCAAAAAAGCTCAAAATTCGTTTCAAAAACTGTCAAAACTTTTTACTAGCAAACGGCCCGTTAAAAAAACTGTCAAAATTAGTATTTTCTAGCAAACGGTCCTTTAAAATTAGCTAAGAAATCAGTCGATTCAAAATGAATTTGCATAATCCAGTTTACACTTTTTTGCTCACAAAGAAAAAGTGAATTGTTCTAATTTGTGCTAAAATCAAGGAGAAGATGGTAATTCTGAATATGGAGTATAGGTCAAGAAGGCATAATTAACTTTCTACGCGTAGTTTTTCCCAATTTTGTCACATCGAAGTTGCCACTCATTCATAGGTTTTTCTCTCCCCTATTTAAAGACGAGATGATTTTTATCGAGGGTCGGATTAAGTTTCAAATTTGACATCAAACACCAGTAATTCGCATATGTATGAGAATGGATTTTATTAATCAAAAAAGGAGCATAATGAAATTCCGATGGTTGTATCGTTTTACCCCTTCTTTCTAATGGTAGAAAATCGATCGTCCGTCAAATTTTCACTTTACAAAATTGACTAATTATATGCAAAATGCATCAGGACTCGAGCACTTAAAATTTCCATTTTCAATGTAATCATGTTAAAAAAATAAATGAAAATTTGCATTTGATGTTTGCGATGTTTGAACTTCAGTGCTACGAAAAAAATACGAGAACTGTAGGCTGATTATCGGTCGGTAATATTTTTCAGGGTATTTGCGGAAGTATGATTTTTCAACTTTCTCGAACAAATTACAATTCAGGCATGCAAATCTATAGAACTGCTCTTACAAGGGCTGCAAGAAACAGATGAAAAGAAACAATGGTCATTACCATGGTGTAGATAATTTCACTTAATGATCACTCGAGCGTCGGATTGGTGAAAAGGGTAAGAAAATTGGAAAAAGTGAGGAATATTGAAGCGAGAAAGGTATTTAAAAACCGTTATCAACAATATTGCACAACAAAAGACCCTCGCAGAATTCGCACGGTTTTTATGGTACCCAATAATGCGGCCGCACTGATCGTAAAAACAAAAGTGCTTTCACTATCGATTACTATAATAACCACTTTTGTTTTCGGTCTATCTTATGAAAAGGGGAATCGGCTGAACGTAAGAAGGCAGAGTGGTGGTTTGAAAGTGATGTCCAAAATATTACGACAAAATTGTTTTGACGAAAAACAATGCCTTCAAAAATTATCTTTTTTAAAATGTTTTGTTCACAGAGTCTGAATTTTTCTTCTATTGACTATAATTTCCTATTAACCTGTTAGGGTTGATTAGGCGGCGTATATTGTTGTGCAACCCCGCATTTGATTAGGCGCACTCGTTGACGATAAGGGGTGAAAAAAGGGGGAATAAAGAGAAAGATGAAAACGCCATACGGCAGCAGCGCCTGAATTGTAAACTGGCGTGATGTGATTTAGGATGAGCAGTTGCTTCAAGTTTAATCTACAAATCTCCCGTGGATTAGTGATACCCCCGTGGCACCACGTATTAACACCCCCAGACCAACTGGCGGGCGGGCGGGCGGGCGGGCGGGCGGACGGGAGGTCGAACTCACCTCTATGAAGATGTAGGGGGGTTGTAAACGGAATTAAAATTAAAAATTCAAAACGTGTAAAGTGGCTATTATGAATGTGCGTATACTGATTGAGCTAAGAAAGGAGTAACTAGGGTAAAAACCAGTTGTCCCCACTCGAAGTTCTACCCCTATGAAGCTAATCAAGATTCAGAGGGAGTGACCGTTTTAAGGATGTTCAAAAAAGTCCCAAAAGACTATATGGTGTGAAACAGTAGATTCAACTCAAGGTCATAAAACGGGTCAATTTAATTCCAAGACTGCAATACCTAGTCATAAAAACCTACTTGCAGCCTTTAAATAAACACTTTTGAAGTATAAACCATTTAAAAAATTTGGTGCAATTTTTTTGATTTGTAAAATTGTTCAGGTCGAGAAATTTCTTTAATATTGACACATTTGGTGTTTGGAACGTTTCGTTAAACAACCTTCCTATGAAGCCAAAAACAAACAAATTAATTTTCAAAAAAAATGCAACCAGATGCTACTTTTTTGTTCATAAAAATACTTCAAGAATAATCAAAATTACGCCACTCTAGGCATGTAAATCAAGCCTAAGACTTTAATGTCACTATAAATCAAAATAAACGTCCCCTTTGCACACGAGATGTGACCAGAGCCAAAAAAAAATAAAACAAAAACGGGAGTAATCAAACGATGCAGCAAGGAAATAAATGGATATTAATGCACACCCGAGGGACTAATGTAATAGATAAATTTTGGATGACTTTTTAAAATGAACACCTGATTTATGATAAAGAAATTTGCGCACTTATTGGTTTCGATGCCATTGTTTTGTAAATCACAAATTTAAGCAGCTATATTTGATATGATGTTCAATTTGCTGCAGCATAATTTGTTAATATTACTTTTTGCAGGTGATGAAACTCAAAATTGAACTTTCAGACTCATTGATAATTTATGGGAACAGCGAACGACTTATGTCGACGAGATTAAAGATGAACTTGATCAGGTTCCTGAATAATTCAACTTTTTGGCAAAAACCATTTAATGCCATTTTTGTGCGTATTTGTACGTGGAGCAAAAACACCGATTATAACCAAAAAATGGGTAAAAGTGTAATACGGTGGAGGGGGTGTGGGTTTCAGAAAACGAACAGTGTCCCTCGTTTAAAAGAAAGCCTCAAAATTTTTTAATAAACTACTTCGGTGATTTCAACATATCAATAAACAAGCGAAATTGAGGCAGGTTAATTATGTTCAAGAAAAAATCTTGAACACGACCAAGTGTCGTTTAATTGCAGTATATGCTTAGAAATAGCGTGACGTGCAAGTAAGAAGAGCAAACTAGAAATTAGGACATTTATCCAAAAGGGAAAGGACCAGCATGCGAGCTGTACAGCTCATCACTGTGAGCCGCTGTTGTGCCCGTGCAATTGTTTTTGGTTACTTTTTTTTGGGCTGGGTAATGTTGCCTCACCCTCAAGCAAGGAGCTCGGACCATGCTGGGCCTCAAACATCCGGCTTTTCGATTGAGAGGCGAAGACTTAACCACTTCATCACCGCTCCTTTAAGGTCTCCTCTATCACATTTGGGTGCTTACAGAGATCTCTCCATCGCACACTCTAGCAAAGAAATTATAGCACCACCGAACCCCTCACCAAGTCCGCACAGAAGTTTAATGAATAATAATCGATTATATTGGATTTTCATTGTCAGTCTCTATAAATCTACAAAAATAATCGATTATAATTGACTAAAACGAAATATTATGATTTTTTCTAAGCAATAGAATCCAAATATAATCGATTATAACCGATTATTTTTTGAAAGAAAATGAAACCTGTTTCCGAAACAAAATATTAATTTTTTAGTCGATTGTAATCGATTAATATTGTAAGTTTTAAACAAATTTCCAGTAGCGTTACAAATATCAGTTGATTAATTTGGAATACATACCCTCCTTTTTTATTTTTTATTTTTCAAAAAATCCAAGTTTTCGATTTTTTTCTAAGTGTGTGACTTCAGCAAACCCTTATTGAGACAAATCATGATTAAATTGAGACAAATTATGACAAATCATGAGTAAATAAATAGTTGTCTAGCTTAGTGACTGATGACTCATTTGTAAAGTTATTATTAATTTACGTCTCCAGGGTCATGTACGACCCTGTTGTCTTTTTCGGAAATGTTTATTTGAATTCATTGGTCAGGCCGGCAGATATTATGGCAATTGTTTGCACAAACAAAGGAGACTAATTCTAATCATTAGATTTGAATTCTACTTTACTGGGGGGATTGAATTATGCATCCTACAAAATTTTCAGAAATTCTTTTTTGTTAGTTAAAACCATTTACCATTTTTTCTGCCCAACCCGACCAAAATGTTTTCAGCTGCATACCAAATCGTAAAACGGAATTTTCAGAAGCTAATGGGACTTGAAAAAGCTTCTGAAACCGAAAATTCCGCTAGGTTCTGGAGATTCAAAATATCTTAGGTTATCAAAATTTCAATGACTTCATCCGATTTAAATACTTGGGATTCAAATTTAACAGGGGCCCTTATGGAAGAGACCCAAAACATCTTATTTAGTAACCATTTCTCCTTCACATAACCATAAAAGCCAATGCAACGACAATGTATGGATTAAAAAGACAAATTAGCTTGCCTCCTTTCAATTTTAAACTATTTTTAGAGCCAGATTTTTCATAACGTTTAATTTAAGTAATGTGGATTACAATTGCAGCATTAAAGTACAAAACGAGCAGTTTGGCTAGAATTGTGACATGCTGATTTAGGGGAGAGGACAAGATCTTTTGAAAAATGATCTTAACAAACGAAAACAAGAGCATATTTATTCCTCACTTTCTTCGAAAGTTGGAACAAAAGTATATGTCAAAAACTGTATCTACAAGCAGAAAAATCAAAACAAAAATTTCCTTTATTTGGTAACTACCCCAAATTGATCAAATTAGCAATATTAAAACGCCCATAAATTGTAGAAAAATGATAACAAGTGATTTGTTTTTGAAGTTTGAGCAAAAAAAACATTATCTGGTGTAAAAAAAAGAAAGTATCGCAGTGAACTTAAAACTACTTAGAAAGCAGCAGCAATAAAAATAAAAACTAATAGGTCGCGAAACATAAAAGTAAAAACAATAAAAACAGATTTTTTATTCAACCCAGCTCAAAAAAGACAGTTTGCTCAAGTTGTTCAATTTGCGATCACTTTGTGACAATCAATCGGAGCACATTTCAATATTTATCGATGGAAATTTAACATGCTAATTCAAAATCTGGGGCACTAAATTTTGAAGATATGTTTATTTTAAAACTCGAAAAATGTCGGATTGCTCACTTTCGTGGCGATGCATACAGAGCAATTGCCTTGGACGTGTGAGGACAAATGAGGACTCCGTTGAAATTGTAAAAGATCACTGCCACTTCCACGATCCAGATGATTTTGGAAATCTGAACTTTCGAAAATCACTTGAAGATTGATTAGGAGATATTTTTTATTTTCTACATTCAATTGAGAAAGCGTCAATTTTAAACCGACAAAATGATGGATAGACACAAGGTTTTGAATTTTCTTAAGCCAACGGAGATTCGATTCTTTGATCTTTAGAGTAAAAGTCGAAACCAATTAAACATTATACCACGAGCTTTTCAATTTCACAAATTGTTCACTTTGTAGTTTTTTCATTTTCAGTTGGTCTCAATTTTCAGTTTTCAAAACCCAAATTAATTCTGTCGGCGCCAAAAATTCGAGGCCTAAAAACTTCAATGATTTTTGACTGTTTCGTGTTGAACACTTTTCTTAGATTTTTTTGATGTTTTGGGTTGTTTTGTAAGGGAATGTTTTGTAAAAGATTAAATTGTATATGATATGCAAATTACTGAACTAAAGCCAGCAACTGAGCTTGGATTAATTTTTCAGCGCGATGAAAATTTTTTTTATTTTGCTCTGCTTTTCAAAAATTGTGACGGGCTTTTTGTGCGCAAGTGGAGTTAATTTAACATTTCGGAACCTTATAATTTTTGTTTGAATCTTTTGAACCAAAAACATTTTCAGATACCCTATAGAGCAGCCAAACATAAAAGAGTTCTGCCCAGAGTTCTGCAATCAGTTCTGTGGTTCTGTATAAATTATGTTTTAAAAACATGATATGGGCCAATTATCGCTCAATTATATCCCTTTTGTAAATGAGACAGATCATTGTCCAACGACAATCCTCGAGTCAAGTTACTTACAAATTCAAAACGGGAACAAATGGTTTATGGAATTTTCATTTTTTTCAGTCTGGAGTTGAAAGCAACATTAACATGGTCCAAAATTGTCTGATGAAGGTCAAAGGACTTCTCCGACTTCGTTTCTAAAATTACATTTTTTGTTCTTCCATAGGCAAAAGAACAATCTCGCTGCTGATAGCAATCGTGTTTTCAACATTGAATTATTCTGATTATAGATTAATCTTTTTGAACATTTTTTGAACTATTTAACGAAATATGCAACACACACCCCTAAAATCTTCCTTCTCTCATTGGGGTATGGGGGTGGGGTGGTGATGTGTTTAAAGCCGCATTTAGCAAACACGGCAAGTAAATTCTATCCCGATATTTGAAGAACGTGCAAAATCGTTGATTGTTACTTATAATCAACTTATACCTACTTTGGTAACTTATAACGTAAGCATGGCCAAAATAGAAAAAATCTAAAACTAACCTCGATCAACTTTAACACATTTACACATTTACGTGCGGGAAATTTGCCTGTGGATGGACGAACGACTCGTCATCCCCATACCACTCAAAAAGGCAGTAGTGAATCGTCTACATTGTTTTCACCACGGGCGCTCGATTATGTTCGAGGCTGCAAGGGATGTCTGGTTTCCCTATCTCCACCGGAGTTTAGTTGCAGCTGCGGATGGGTGCAAGGAATGCACGGATGCAGGTAAAAGCTTTAAACCA